TTTTAAGTCCTAAAAAGTTTAGAAACCTTGAAATTATCTTTAAATATTAACTTTCTATCATTTTATATCCAAATTCATTCTCTTATCCTATTGCTTTTTAAATTCTATCCATAGTCTGATGTTGCGATTTCCTTTTATCTTCCTTGAATTCTTTTTGAGTTTGTTAATATCATAGAGAACCTACTTATTTTGGGTCATTTATAAGTTTGGCCTTATCAGTGAAGTTTTATTTTCAGTTTTTATTTTTTTTAAATTTTCTTATTAGTACATGTTTTAAATTCTTTTTTAAGGACCTAATTGGGGAACAGTAAGAATTTGTATTTGAACTGTTTGTATATGTGCTCATGGCTACCTGTATGGATGGGGAAATAACAGTATTCCCCATGTGCTTTTCTGCTGTATGTCTGAGGATGAGAGCAAACATGTATGTGTGTGTACATATATATGTATGTGTGTATGTGTTTATATGTGAAACATATGTAAATACATGTGAAGTATATGTCTGTCACTTCTCTGAATATAGATAAATGAATAGCCTAAGACAGTTAAATGAATTTCTTTTTTTGATGCGGGGTCTCACTGTGTAGTTCAAGCTGGCCTTGAACTCACTGTGTAGCACAGGCTGGCCTCAAACTCACAGTGATCCTTGTGCCTCACCCTCCTGAGTGCTGGGATTACAGGTGTGCACCATCATGCCTGGCTAGTTAAATGAATTTCTGATATGGAATTAGTGTTTTGATAGTCCGTTGAAATTAGAGTTTTTTAAATCTACATTTTTGTTCTTAATATTCAGAAAATCTCTATATTCTCTTCTCAGATAGATATACATGGTAAAAGTAGACGATCTAGTCTTAGCTACATTTTCCCAAATTTGTTTTATGTATCTTTATCTGCTGAAAGTATTGCTATCATGCCTTAATGCCAATCTATGCTCTTAGAATAACTTGGTTGTTTTCCTATTTTGTTGGATTTCTTTTAATATTACTGCATTTTGTTTCTATCATTTTTCCTAACAAGTAAAATTATAATAAAAAATGATTTAGGTCTACTCTGGGGATTAATGAGAATAAAAATGCGGAGTTTTTTGTTGTTTGTTTTTTTGGTACTGGGGATCAAACTCGGGACCTTGTGCTTGCAAGGCAGGTGCCGAAACCACTGAGCTAAATCCCTGGCCCCAAAAATGTGTTTTTTAAAGAAGAGTTATATACTTCTAAAAAAAAAATAAAGAGTTATATACTTCTAAAACTTTATACCACTAACTGTATTTTAACTATTCTAAACTGTATTTTTTCACTTTTAACATTGCAGAACTCAGTACGCATGTTAAAATTGATGGCATCATAGTTTCAAGTAGCTATGTATTTTTTTTCTTTGTGTTCCATTCCAAATAATAGTGATGATATCTTTAACTTGAAGCAATAATGGTGAATCATATGACATGGCTGCTTAGGAGAAGGACCTTGTCTTTACCCTATCAACTCCTGCATCATTTTCACAAGATCAGTAATGAAGTGTTTAATTATCTGTACCAGTTTTCTGGTAGTCTGCCACGCATAATAAAGATAATTTATCATCTAAAACAGTCTACAATGATGATAAACATATAAAGAAAAAAATTCCAAAATGAAATAAAATAGATGTTATATTTATATTATATTCTTTCTGTGGTAAGACTTAATAAGTGTGATAATACAACATCTGAGAGTCTCCTTATCTATCTTTAACTTTGTTATCCAATAGCAGACTAGTAGTTTGATGTATAATTTTTAAAAACGGCTTTATTTTCCAGGTCCTAAGTGTTCAGGATCTTGTTGATTTTTCTCCTGTTTACCGATGTTTGCATATTTATTCTGTTTTGGTAAGTATATTTTACGTTTATGTATGTATTTATCTTTTTTTTTTTGGTACCAGGGATTGAACTTGGGTCCTTGCACTTGCAAGACAGGCAGCAGAACCACTGAGCTAAATCCCTGGCCCCTATGTATGTATTTATTAGAAGGCACATATGTATTTTAAGCCTTAAAGGATGACCAAAGCTCAAATAGCTAAAAGTCTTCATACAGTAAATATTTGTGAAATAGTTGTGTAAGGGACTTACCTTTTTCTTTTAACTTAATCAGAGTCTAATGTCAAGTAATACATCACTTCATGTGTATTATAAGAACCTTATAATAGTATATAGTCATGTACACATAACAGTGTTTTGGTTAATAGTAGACTGTAAACACAGTGGTTTATAGTGGAGCTGAAAAATTTCTATTGCCTAGTGACACCATAGCCATCATAATAGCTTAGTATAATGTATTACTTGCTTGTATGTTTAATACTGTATAAATAAACCTACTGAGCTGTCATTATAAAAGTATAGAACATATAACTATATGCAACACATAATACTCTAATGATAATAAATAGCTGTTACTGGTTTATGTATTTACTGCGCTTTGTAATGTTATTTAGCATGTAAGCCTTCTACTTATATAAAAATTAACTGTAAAACAGTCTGAGATATGTCCTTTGTGAGGTATTTCAGAAGAAGGCATTGTCATTATAGGAGATGATAGCTCCACATATGTTGTTGCCCCTGAAGACCTTCCAGTGATACAAGATACAGAGGAGGATGTTGGTGATACTGATGTTCTGACTTGTGTAGGCCCAGCCTAATATGTGTGTTGTCTTAGTTTTTAATAAAAAGTTTAAGAAGTTAAAAATTAAAAATAGGCTATAGCATACATGAGCTCATCATTCAAGAAATGCAAATTAAAACAATGTTAAGATTCTGTCTCACTGTGAAAGAATGGCTACCATCAAGTAATCAACCAATAATAAATACTGGTAAGGTTGTGAGGAGAAAGGAAAAGTTCTTCATTGTTGATGGGAGTGTAAACTGATACAACTACTATGGAAATCAGTATGGAGATTCCTCAAAAAACTAAAAAAATAGAAATTCCATTTGACCCAGGTATTCCCTTTCTGGGTATCATCTCAAAAGAGTTAAAAACATACTACAGCAGGGTATGTGAACCTATGTTTATAGCCGCACAATTCATAATAGCTAAAATTTAGAATCAGCCTGTATGCCCATCAATAGTTGAATGGATAAAGAAATTGTGGTACCTGTATGCAATGGAATACTACTCTCCCATTAAGAAAGATAACTTGAGGTATTTGTAGGAAAATGGATACACTTTGAGATATAATGTTAACTGAAGTAAATTAGATCTCTACACTTGTACATTGTATGGTTTCCCTTATATGAAAAATTTAATAGGAAAGAAGAGAGAGAAAAGAGAAAGAAAAAAAGTAATTATATTCTAAGTATGTTTCTGTTGTTGTTATCTGGTTTTACTCTAATATGGCATGAGAGCTCACTTTGGAGGATTTATATTTCTTTGGATATGTTAAGGTCTTTATTGTTGTTGTGAGCATGATCTATTCTGAAAGGAAAATAAGTAAATTCCCAGAATAGGAAATCTGTGAAGATAGAAAGTAGCTCAGTGGTTACCTAGATTTAGGGGGAAGGGATTAGGAAGTGATGGCTATTAGGTAGAGTGTTTTGATTTGGGATGGCAAAAATGACCTAAATTTGTTTGTGGTTGTGGTTGTTCAACTGTGTCAGTGTGCTGGGGTCTACTGAATCTTACATTTAAAATCTGTCAGTTGTGTAGTATGAAGTCTTTTGGTTTAATAAAGTTGTTTCATTCCAAAAAAAATTTTTTTAATGAAAAGGTATTTTAAAAAGAAAAAATAAGGGCCGGGGATTTAGCTCAGTGGTTCTGCCGCCTGCCTCGCAAGTGCAAGGTCCCAAATTTGATCCCTGGTACCAAA